TACCTTTTCCTGTTATGGATCCTCCAACACACAGACACCAAGCAATATGCTCAGATAAATTCTGTAACACACACATACACACACACACGCGCACACACACACGGGTCTGCTACATCTCCTATAAATAGCAGTTGTGGAAGTATCTCATCTAACTATCCACCATCAGACATAGCTGACTTAATTTTCTCCTCTAAAGAACCCGCAACACAGATATTTACACAATTGATAAATCTTTTATGTAAAGCTCCAATCTCATATCTAGGAGTCACATATTCATGGTAAATAAGATCACATAGCTACAAAGTGTTTTACTGAGTGTGTGTGTGTGTGCGCACACACACACACATACACGGTCACTTGTGTGGGTTCATGTTTCTTCAGTCACAGTCACCCTTTCTCCAGTGAAAAGAAATGAAATCAACCTCAAAGAAATGGAAGTAAACGGAGCAACCAGCCAGAGACCATCATCCCAGCATAAGCAGACATTTCTCCCTTTATACCATTGAACCTAACCTTACTTCACCTGGACCCTTTGATAAAATGGTAGGAAGGTGGCCCACTGCATTTGACCTCCCTCCACTCCCACAGTCTCTCAATAAGGAGAGGGGTGCCTTGCCTATGCAGAGGGACTGCGTGTACTATATGCATCTTGAGCCTCTTCCCTCCTCCACTGGTGAAAGCCTGAGACACTTGGGAATCCCAAACAACCCTTCCCAGCTCTGGTGTGCTCTTCTCACCCTAATTCTGATTTTGACACTCATCCTATAGTAATCTCAGTCCTCTGCCTCCTCCTTCTTTCCTACTATTGCCAGAGGCAGGGATCCTAGCTGAAGAGGGCTGTGTCGCTCAGCCCGCTCAAGTTCTCTGCATCTGGGTCTCTGACCCTGTCTTCTTCCTTCTCAGTCTGTCACTTCATCTCCCAACCCTTGCCCTCAACATGTGTGTTTTCTGTGAAGGCTACACTGCCTCTTCCTGCACCTCTGTTTCTCCTCTCCTATAATCTCACTAGAATATACAGACAAAAGAGCTAAGCAATCATTTTTGCTTCACCCAAAGCATCACTTCTCACTCAACACCCTGACAAGTCTGGCCACTGGGAGTCCTGGGCAGAAGCAGAGAGCTGAGAGACTCAGTGGGTTTATGGAAGACTCCAACAAGACCGATGGATTTGCACTCAGGCAGTAGCTTCCAGCTGAGTCTAGCTCAAGGAATGGGAAGTTTGACCTTGAGTGAAACCCACTGACTCTATCATTCAGTTCATAGTGCTCAGCTCTAGCTGGAGGAAAGAAAGATTTCACAGTCCCCAGTTCAAGCCTTTCACTCTGTTACATGTGTTGGGGGTAGTAGGGGGAGAGGGGATTCCAGACAAGGCCCTACAGCCGCCAGGGAGAAACCTCTCTCTCCTCTCAGAGACAGAAAGACAGCGACTGAGAATCACAAACACACACAAAGACATATTCACCAACATACACAGAAATAAAAATGCATATATTCTGAGATGTATTTCACATACACAAAGACAAAAAGCAAGGAGCTGTGCCCACCCTAACACAAAAACGTATCGTAAGTTTCACAAAAGCCCCACACTCAGAAACAGAGGCATACGGAGTATGCATCACCAGACATATTCACCTTAAACTGTACCTAGTGGGTAGAGTGTTCACGAGCACTTAGCACCCATTTCTGCCCAGGCTGTGCTAAGGTCCAAACTAGAAGGACATGAGAATCCTCAGGTGCATTTGATACACCACCCCAGGCAAAACTCCAGGCAAAAACCTTCTGAGGACTAGAACGAAAATGAAAGTGCTGGAGGGGCCACAGGCTTCCCAGAGATCTGGCCTCATTAAGAGCTGAAGGCCAAGACCGAAGTATCCCTTGCATCCTATAAGCTCAAGCCCTCCTCTGCCTGCTTGGGCTGCCCAGGGGCCTTTCCTCACTCCCCCTCTGCTGGGGAGCTAAGGGTCTTCTGGGAGAGCCCCATCGCGGCAAGGGAGTGCAGGCAAGCAGAGAGAGCTGGTGACCGCTGAAGTTCACATACATTTATTCAATTGACACCAACGGAGAATAGGGGGTAGACAGATTTTTCTTTTCTTCCACACAGACCATCAGACGATTTCACAGAGTTTCCCCACAGTGGAGAAGTCTAAATCAATGCACACCCAGTGGACAGAGAACGCTGAGAGCAGCCCGCTGTACAGATATTTACACAAAATAACAGGACCCCCTGCCACAGAGTGTGCCCTGCCCACTCCACACCCGCCTCTCCAGTCCCGGGCTCAGACCCCTCTCTTCCACCCAATCTCATTGCCTTTTGCCACAATAAATATCACAGGGCCTGGGACAGGGTGGAACACTGACAGGGCTGCTCGCCCGGGATGGCTGGACCCAGCCAGCCACGGGAAAGAAATTCCTTTAAAAACTCCCAAACACAAAAGAGAAAGGATTTTCCTCAGTGGAGTGGGATCCAGGGTGTCTGCAGGGAATATAAAGACCCCTGCTTCACCTCTCCATTCAGCTCCGCCTGCGTAGACACTGGTTTAGGCTTCAGAGGAAATGAACTTCCTTGGAGAACAGCAAAAAAAAAAAAAAAGGTTGAATTTTTCTTTTAAGCACAAAGCAGACAATAGATGTCTTTAAATTATAATGTTGGACAAGCAGGGTCTCAACGTTGGGGATGAAGTGAGCGGGGAGAGGCAGAAAGGGAGACCCTCTGTTGGTGTTTCTGGCAGATCCGTGGGGCCTGGCCAGGCATCTCTCCGGGAATGATTTCGCCGAGAGTCAGGGAAAAAACGAAGCCCCCCTCCCCAGCTTTTATTTCTCAAATGGTTAAGGATTTTCACTGCGACTTCTTCGCGTAGCCCCGGGCCTGTCGCCCAGAGCCACAGAGCCCGCTTAATCCCAACTATCTGCGAGATTCTGTGCGTGAGGCATGAAGTGCCGACTCACGCGTGCCGGTCCAAGGTCTGGAGACTTCATAAATAGACTCCCTGAGTTCCGCTGGGACCGCAGGAGCCCGGGAGAGGCTGAGGAGTGCGGACCTAACAGGCCCTGGGCCTGCTGCGGTCAGAAGTGGCAGCCACTGAGGCCGGCGACTTTGCTGGCAAATGGGGACCCTGAGGACAGGAGCGCGTCCCCGGGATGCGAGAGGCGAATGTGGCCAGCTACGGGAGCCAGGGCCGGAGCAGTCAGCATGGCCAAGACCTGGGCTTGGCCCCCAGGACCCGCGGCTGCCGCGAATGGCGGTCCCGGAGAGCCCTCGCCGGTGCCCGGGGGTGCCGCCCCGCCGCCACTGTGGCCCATGATGTGGTCTATAGAGAAGGAAGGCCTCTGCCCTGCCCCGGCGCCCCCGCCGCCCGCACCACCGCCCGCGTCCGTCTTGAGGCCCTGGCGCAAAAGTGCGGTGGACAGACCCGCCGCGGTGCCAGCTGCGGGAGGGCTCAGGGACGCGGGGTAGAAGGCTTTGGCGCAGCCCAGCTCCGCGCCCAGGAAGGCGGGCAGGCCGGCAGGGCCCGGGCCCGAGCCTGAGGCGGGCGCAGGAGCTGGGGCCGATGCCGCGCCCGCGAACACCGAGGCCGTCGGAGGTCCGGGTGGAGGCGCGGCGGCGCGGCCAGGGGGAACCGAGAGCTGGCAAGGAGCGGCGGCCGCTGCCGCGGCGAAGGCGAAGGCGTGCGGGTGCGGGTGCGGGTGCGGATGCCGGGCCGGCCCTGGCGGGGGTGCGCCGTAGGCCGGGAGAGCCAGCCCGTAGCCGTAGCCGTAGGCGCCGTAGGCGGCGAAGCCGGGCAGGAAGGCGCCCGGGTCCCCCGCCGCCGCGGCCCCGCCACGCAGCAGCAGATCCGGGTGAGGGTGCGGGTGTGGGTGCGGCGGCGGCAGGGGCTGCCGCTTGAAGCGCTTGCGGCGCCGCAGGAAGCTGCCGTTGTCGAACATGTCGGCCGACTCCGGGTCCAGCGTCCAGTAGTTGCCCTTGCCGGGGTTACCCGGCTCGCGGGGTATCTTGACGAAGCAGTCGTTGAGCGAGAGGTTGTGGCGGATGCTGTTCTGCCAGGCGGGGAACTTCTCCCGATAGTAGGGGAAGCGGCCGCTGATGAACTCGCAGATCTCGCTCAGCGTCAGCCGCTTCTTGGGGCTCTGCAGAATGGCCATGGTGATGAGCGCGATGTACGAGTAGGGCGGCTTCACCAGCGGGCTCCGCGTCGCCGCGCCCCCCGACGGCGGTCCCGGCCCGGGCCCCGCTGCACCGCGGGCCGCCGCAGCGCCTGGCCCTGGGCTCCCCGCTGCAGCCGCCGCCCCTCGAGGCGCCAGAGCGCGGGGCTCGCCGTCCGAGCAGCCACCCGACTCCTCCTCGTCCTCGGCTACGTCTGCCTCGGCTTCCTCCGGGGGAGGCTCGTGGCCGTGGGGGAGCGCATCCCGGGGGGCGCGGGGCCCGGACCGGGCTGGGAGTTCCCCCCCGCCGCTGCCGCCGCCCACCACGTCTATGTCTGCGTCGGCCTCGGACAGCGCGGCCGGGGAGCTCTCGGAGGACATGATCTCGCAGCAGCAGCTGCCCAGGGTCATGGTGCCGCTGCCGCCGCCGCCGCCACTCTCCGGCTCCGCTCCGGCAGCGGCTCCGGCTCGGCCGCGCTGCCTCTAGGGCGAGTGTGTTTTGCGCGCGGGCGGGGAGGGGGCGGGGGACTGAGGCGGGCAGGGAGGGGTGCCCCTGGCTCCGCAGCGCCCCCTGGCGGCCCAGCTCGGCCGCGCTCACCTTCCAGGGCACGCCCCGCCGGCGGCCCCCGCCGCTACCCCGGGAGCCCGAGCCGGGACCCGCCGCCAGAGCGCGGCGGAAGGAGCTGAGGCCTTCCCTTACCTGGGCGGGCCTCGGCCCCTAGTCCCCTCGGGGTGGGGGACTGTCCCTCCCGCCTAGCGGCTGCCTAAGGCGGAAGAGCCGCGGGCTAGGGCGGAGCTCCCTGGGCGGGGTGGGACGAGGCGGCAGGGGCGGGCGTAGCGCCGCGGCTGAGGGGCCCGGCGGGAGCGGGACTCGAGTGCCCGGAGGCGGGCCCTCGTCTTCGCGGCCGCTCTCGCACCCTGCGCTCCTGGCTCCAGAGCGCTCAGCCCCTGGGTATTAAGGTCCGCGCGGGCGCCAGCCGCAGCCGGGGAGGTGGCGGTGGTCCGCACGCGTCCGCTCCTCCAGGCGGCGTCCGGGCCACCCGGGCCGCAGCGCAGTGGGAGCGCGATCCGGAGACGCCGGGACCCACCCGCCCCTGGGCGGCCCGCCGGGGCGCACCCGAGCCCGCAGGGCTTCCGGCCCGAGGGGAGACGCGTCGGAGGGATCGCGAGGAGCTAACTTGCCGCCCGCAGCCTCGGGCCTGGGAGAGGTGAGATTGCGGCGGCACCCTCTCCTCTCTCCGCGGCCGGGCCCGCCACCCGTCTCCGCGCGGGGAGGCCGGGGAGGGCGCCGGCCGCTGCGGCCGCGTTCCCGGGGAGCGGGCCGGTCTGCCGCTCGGAGTCTGCCCGTTCCCCGACCCTCTCGGTCTTGGTTTCCGTGTGTCTCAGTCTCTGTGACTCTCTCACGCTCGTGAGTCTCTGTGGAAACGGCATTTGTCTGGGTGTCTGTCTGTTCACAGTCTGGGGATCCGCTTAATTTCTCCCTCCCCTCTCCCCGGCCCCAGTCGCTCTGAGGACTGGACGCCCCCCATCTTCCTGGCTCCCAGCCTTCTGGCCCCACGGACAGGCGGCAGGACCCCCCCGCCCCCCGCCGGACCCCCCATCAGTGAACCCTGACCTCGACCAAGTGTTGCCTTCATCTCTCCAGAATCTGGTGCAAGTGAGGCTGGCCCTCCGCATTGTTTCTCTCCAGCCGGGTTCTTGCCCATCCTATTAGACCTCTTTCTCCTCTGGCCTCCAGGACGCAGAAGCAAGCAGCTTCTATACCTAGTGGGCCCATTTCAGCCTCTGGGGCACGGAGCGGGAGATGGGCGCTGGAAGTGAGCAGGAACTGAGCGGTTGCCTGGGCTGCTGCCCCGACAGCGCCGCACAGTGGCCAAAGCTCGGGCGCGCGAGGCTGGAATTCAGCTGCCTCCGCCGTCCCAAGGCTGTGCGACCCTCCTTAGGTGACTTCCCGGCTTTGGAGCCCCAGTTTCCTGATCTGCATAGTAGTTAAGAGCAGCGACTTTAAGTCAGGCTCCTGGGGTTCCAATCCTGGCTTCACTACTTACCCTCTCCGTCACCGTGGGCAAGTTTCTTTGCTCTGCGTCTGCTTTTGTAAAAATGAGACTAGTAACACCTAACCCAGAACTAATGTGTTAAGTGTAGCCATATTCTAGGCCATTTATGAAAACGGTATTGACAGTACTTTGCAGTTTCATTGAACAGCAGCCTCCAATCTATGGGACAGCCTGCTGTTAATCCAACTCTCCCATTCCACAGATGGAGCCACAGAGGCCCAGGATAGGGAAGAAGAACTCAGCCATGTTCCTGCAAGAAGATAAAACATGGCTGGGATGCAATCCTTTTCGCAGAATCCTCAAAATAGAGTTCTTCGTCCTCCCAAGCTAAGGGCAGAAAAAAATGGAAGGCAGGTCTGTCTGCTCCTGTCCTGTGAGAGCAAGTCGCCTGGGCCCCCTCTGGGACTTCTGACCAACGGGATCCACTTAGCGTGCTGTTCCAGCATAAACTGTCCTTGGGGGGAAAAAGAAATACAGTCTTCAACCCTGGACAGTAAATTGGACAGGGACTGGTGGCCCTGGAATTGGAATTTACTGGGTGACAGACTGTCTGGGGCAAAAGGTCTTGGAGAGAAGCTTCTTGCATGAGTCGGAGGAAACTCACATACCTAGGGTTGCTAGATTTAGCAGATTTATTTTATCTGGCAACCCTACACATACCTCAAGCTTGCTCTTGACTACATGGATATCTGTCTCACACGCCCAGAACCCCACTCACAGATAAGCCACATCGTGGACCACACACCAATTCCAACCCAGCTCAGCTCTGCTAGTGTCTAAATAAGTAGAAAGAAAAAATGTTGGCATCATCCTACTCCATTTCCCCTTCTGAATGTCCTCATTTCTTTTCTTTCTTTTTTTTTTTTTTTTTTTTTTTTTTGAGACGGAGTTTCACTCTTGTTACCCAGGCTGGAGTGCAATGGCGTGATCTCGGCTCACCGCAACCTCCGCCTCCTGAGATCAGGCAATTCTCCTGCCTCAGCCTCCTGAGTAGCTGGGATTACAGGCACGTGCCACCATGCCCAGCTAATTTTTTGTATTTTTAGTAGAGACGGGGTTTCACCATGTTGACCAGGATGGTCTCGATCTCTCGACCTCGTGATCCACCCGCCTCGGCCTCCCAAAGTGCTGGGATTACAAGCTTGAGCCACCACGCCCGGCCGTTTTTTTTTTTTTTTTTTTGAGACGAGTTTTGTTCTTGTTGCCCAGGCTAGAGTGCATGACGCCATCTTGGCTCACTGCAACTTCCGCCTCCCAGGATCAAGCTGTTCTCCCTCAGCCTCCTGAGTAGCTGGAATTACAGGCATGCACCACCAGGCCCAGCTAGTTTATTTATTTATTTTGACATGGAGTTTCACTTTTGTTGCCCAGGCTGGAGTGCAGTGGGGCAGTCTCAGCACTGCAACCTCCACCTCCTGGGTTCAAGCAATTCTTCTGCCTCAGCCTCCTGAGTAGCTAGGATTACAGGCACCTACCACCACACCCAGCTAATTTTTTGTACTTTTAGTAGAGACGGGATTTCTCGATGTTGGTCAGGCTGGTCTCGAACTTGCAACCTCAGGTGATCTGCCCGTCTTGGCCTCCCAAAGTGCTGAGATTACAGGCGTAAGCCACCGTGCCCCAGCCTGAATGTCCTTATTTCTAAAATGGCAAATGGGAACGAGTAGCTTCCTTCCTTGCCAGCACTCCCCTGGCACCCCAGGCTCCAATCAGGGTAGTACTAGCCAGGGCATTTGCTGCCCAGATTTCCTGCTTCAGACAAGAATTTCTACCAAGCAGCTGCAGCAGCCAGCCCTTGACTCTGCCTGGCCCGTTCACCGCTACTGAGACCTACACCGGGGAAGGAGAGTACAGAATCCCCAGCCTCTGCTCTGCAGGGTTGGTGAGGGAGAATCCAGACCCTTCCCATACATACAGTACTTTTTACAGGAGTGGAAACTGAGGTCCAGGAGATCGTGTTACTTGTCAGGCTTTTGTGGGGCCCTAAGCTGAGTAGACCTAGGTGTCCGGGTTCTCAGCCCAGAACTCTGTTTATCCAAATAGCTGTTTCCCTAACAGAGCTCCACTCTGTAGAGGGATTTCTGGTAGCTTCTTATCCCTCCCAAGGTTCTGGGCCAGTTTGTTTTCAACCGTGTCAGGAGTAAGTGCACTGGGGGCTGGCAGAAGGGCAACCGTGGGATTTGGAATTTATTTCGTTTTCTTTGCTTCTCCCATGATCCCTTCTTTCGCCTGTGGGCTCAGCCTCTTCGGCGTATTGGAGCAGTGCCTGCGATCCCGCATGAGTCTGTCCCTCCCTCCACAAAAAACCTGCACACTTTCCCAGAAGCCTTTGGCTGCAGCCGCGGAAGAACAGGAGGCCACAGGCTCTTCGGGTCTTGGTTACAGGGTCTCTGGTCCTGCCCGGCCTCCTTCTGCATCTGCTCCACGACCCAGCCATCTCCCTCCGGCAGCCCAGAACAATTGGAAGGAAGCGTTGTCGGGCGAAGGGGGATGCCTGTTGGAGTTTTCCACTACGTGGTTACTGAGTGAAGGTTTTTTTGCGAATAATACGTTGCTATCACTGGCCTCCGGGTCATCTCTCCCCTCTCTTCCTTACGGTTCGCATAAACGAGCTGTTTTCGGCTCTGGGAAAGAAAAGCCCTCCAGCGATTATGTGGATCTAATTAAGTCAGTCGGGATACTGGCAGAGAGCGGCACTGGCTGGAGGCGGAGTTTGTTCCGAAGCACTACGGAAGGATCGCACACGGCCCTTTTCAGCTGTTCGAGCTCGGCCGTTGCCCCGGCCGGCGCCCGGTTACAAACGGAAGCCTGAACTGGGCTGGGGAACTATGCCCGCAGACTTCTCATTTTATTCACAAAACTGGCCAGCCTCGGGGAAGGCTTTGAGGCTAGCGCTAGCCCCGTCCTTCCCACTCCAGACCGAGCTACCGCTCCAAAATGAGACAGCTGTTAAGCCTTAGCCGGTACATTTCCTTTCTCCACCCGGATCTTCCCGCCGCTCAGGAGCGATCAGCTCCCTTAGCCGGGAGACTCCAGATCCTGTGACCTGCGGGGGCAGACCTCAGCTGTGTTCCCGTTCGCACGCACAGAAATGACTGGGGCCCCAGTGTGTGCACCTTCCACTCTGCAGCCCACCTGCCCTCTTCCAGGCACTGGCACAGGGGCAGGTCCCTCCGCCTTAGCGTCCACACGTCTGCCAGGCAAAGTTCGAGAGTATGAATTTCCATCTTCTCTTTCCACTACTCCCGGCCACTGTCCCCTCCCAGCCCCATCCCCTCCATCCCGAACCGTGAACTATGTGGTAGGAGGCTCAAGCACCCTGCGCTCGAGTACTGGCCGCTGCGGCGACCGAAGTGAGCTGCAGAGCCTGTCGGCTGCTGTCTGTGGGAAGAGGGTTGCGACCTCAGGAGAGAGTGAAAACAGCGCCGCTTGAAAGGCACCAGTCCCGAAGATCCACAGAGTTCATGGAGTAGTAGAGAAGGCTCCACACTCTTGAGAGCAGAGGTGGACAGGGTCAGTGGGGGACGCTTCCAGGTGTGTGGGGGCGGGAACCTCAGGTCTAAGTGCACTCTTCTGGGCTGAGCCTCTTTCTCTGTCTTCACGTGTCTGCCCTCTGGACAACAGTGGCTCCGTATGGTGGGCTGCGACCCTGACTGACGGGCCTATCTTGCGTCCTGTGTCCTGCGTCCTCCAGACTTCACACGTGGTTTTCCCCTCCAGACCTGACGTTTGGTGTCCAACAGTGGACCCAGCAGGACTGCCTGGGAGGCTCATCATCCAGGCCCACGACTTTCTCCCAGAGCCTGAAGCCATGCTACCTGGTCGGGGACTGCAAACCTTCTTGGAGTCAGCAGTGAGACCCTAGCGGGGAAGGAGAATGTGTAGGGGTGCACCTGGGTTGAGGGTCTGTGACTGTAGCATGGAAAAGGTGGAGTTCATGCAGGGATGGCCCTATGGGATAGCCAAGAATACTTCAGCGGCAGCTTCCTTCCTACCAATTACACGCGGCCTTCTGACACAGTGGCACTTCAGCGACTGGACGCCCTTCCCAGGCCCTGAATTGGGGCAGGGCAGGAGGGAAGGTGCAGAACCATAGGGATCTATTTCCCAGGCAGAGTAACTGGCAAGGCCGTAAGTCTTCTCGTGGGCGCAGAAATGGTGCCGGGTCCCTGTGTCCTCTGGGCAGATGCAGAGCCGCGTAAGCCTCACAGAAGCGGAGCCAGGGGAACAGCGGGAGCTCTGGCTTGGTGCAGACGCTAGTGATGGATTCCTGGGGAACAGCGACCTCTGGAGGAACCTGTCATCCACGCAAAGGGTCAGGAACTAGATAGAGGACAAAGTCTGAGACCCAGGACACTTTCCTCACCCTACTCCCATTCCACCCGCTTGGCAAAGTTATCCAAAGACTTAAAACCTCCGGTTTTCCCCAACCTGTACCCACGTTTCAAATCCCTGCTCCAGTCCCGCCTCTTCCAGAAAGAAGCCTTCTGGAGAGCTCAGTTCATCTTCCCCCTTCCTGCTCTGAGCTCATTCTCAGGCCATACTGCACAGCCGACCTGCTTCCTGCTGGATCTTCTCCAAAACGCCCGTGAATCCACTCCACCCATGCTTTGAGTTGCATACTGGGCATCCCATTCCCGCCCCACCACCTCACCTAACCCCCCAGTAAATAAAGACTGAAGTTATTCATTCCAAAATTGGGCTGTAGATTTTTTCAAAGCTAATTTTGCCTATGGGGAAATTGAGACCCAGAGAGAGGGATGACTTGCTCACAACCACACAGCAAACTGGTAGCAGAGGTGGCACTAGAACCCTAGTATCCCATTTCCCAGGCCAGGGTCCTCTTCATCTCACCTGGACGGGGAGCAGGTAATCTGGTGGAAAACTCACTTTTATGGGCGAGAACTGAATTGGAGGTGGGGATTGGCATAGGAACGGGGAAATGCCGGAGGAAACTGAGAGGGTGGTCGCTGCTCCAGGATGGGGCAGTGAGGAAGGCAGGGAGGGCAGTGCCATGCTGGGAGGACAGACCCTTCTTTCCCTCATCCTCAGCCCAGATTAAGATACTTGGAAGGGCTCCGTATTTCAGGGCTTGGCTTCATTTCTTACATCAGCAGGTGGGAAGGGCTAAGGTCTGGGAACAGATTCAACTCTGGCAAATACCACCCTCCCCCATCCACCACCACCACCCAAGGGAAAGAGCAGCTGAGAAACTTCTCCTGCTAATACACTCAGAGGGCACTGCTGAGACCCCACATCAACAGGAGGCCTTCCGGTACTTGTGATTACAGAGTTAATGGAGAAGGTGGAAGAGTGATTTGCATGAGGCTCCAGTAATACCTGCTACCTGCTCAACAGCCTGAGGCTTTCCCAGGGCTGCACCACTTTCTGGATATAGGGTGCTTGTCTGCACAGGATACCTGGCAGCCTGGCCTCTACCTGCTTGTCCAGCCTACCTCCAACTCCTGCACTCTACTCATACCTGAGTTGCTCTTTCTTCCCTCTTCACCTTTGCAGGTGGCTCACTCCCGCCTGGCTCACTTCTCCTAGTCCTTCTTAGTTCATTTCACATATCTAGTTTGTGAGATGCTTTCCCTGACAACACTTCTGCGCTCACCTGACTCCCACCCATGTTCCCAAAGCTCTTAGCTCTGTTTTCATTATTTGTTTTTCAGTCTGTAGATTTTATTATAGACCAGGGGTCCCCAACCTTTTTTGGAACCAGGGACCAGTTTCATGGAAGACAGTTTTTCCATGGACCAAGGTGGTGGTGGGCAGAAGGTTTTGGGATGAAACCATTCCACCTCATATCATGCCATCAGGCATTAGATTCTCCTAAGGAGCATGCAACAGGCTGGGCACAGTGGCTCACACCGGTAATCTCAACACTTTGCGAGGCTGAGGTGGGTGGATCATTTGAGGTCAGGAGTTTGAGACCAACCTGGCCAAACCCTGTGAAACCCTGCCTCTACTAAAAAGACAAAAATTAGCCAGGCATGGTAGCAGGTGTCTGTAGTCCCAGCTACTTGGGAGGCTGAGGCAGGAGAATTCTTTGAACCCAGGAGGTGGAGGTTGCAGTGAGCTAAGATTGCACTATTGCACTCCAGTCTGGGCAACAGAGCAAAAGTCCAGTCTCAAAAATAAAAAATAAGGAACACGCAACCTAGATCCCTCACATGCGCAGTTCAAGATAGAGTTCGTGCTCCTATGAGAATCTAATGCCGCCACTGATCTGACAGGAGGCGGCGCTTAGGTGGTAATACTCGCTCACCTGCAGCTGACCTTCTGCTGTATGGCTGGGTTCCTAACAGATCACCAGTTAGGTACCAGTTAGTGGCCCAGAGGTTGGGGATCCCTGCTTTAGACTGAGCTCCTTGAGAACAGGGCTCACAATGTCTTCATCTTTATCTTTCCCTCTGCAAAATGGGGATAGTAATTGTACCTACCTCACTGGATTGCTGTAAGGATTAAATGAGATGATGCACATAAAGCACTTAGCCTACTGCCTGAAACTGAAAGAGCTCAAAAAATGTTTTGCATCATCATTATTAATCACTCTACTTCCTGCCAGGCACAAAGCCTGACACACAGTAGGTGCTCAATTAGTGTTAGATATGTGGATATATTAATGAAAGAAGAAAGAAAGGTATGACATATCTCTCTCTGTCTGGAACGCCCTATATGAATTCTAGGGAGTTCATCAGTAAATCATCAATAGAACTCTATTCATTGAGAACAGAGTTTGTATTTCAGATCATCAGTAGAACTATGTGTTTGCTGAGAACAGAGGTTGCCTCTCCCTCATCAGTGTCCATCACCGAGGGGAGGAGAACATGTCTCCCTCAGACAGAGTTCCTCCTCTTCACCTCCTGCCTAGGTCAGCCCCAAATGGTGACAACTGCTACATGAGCTGACATCATAGGTCTGGGCAACCCAGAGGTTCCCAGTCTGCCAAGAGCCTCATTTCCAGCCATGAAGTTTGATTCCCCATTAGTTACAAGAACACCTCTTATAGGGGCTCTGTGTGATCTTCCCTCGTCCATGCCCTTCAAAGCTGGAGCCACTCATTTCTGGGGGACTGGAGACAATGAAATAGTAAATCTTAAACAGTAGGGGAACAGATTTTATAGCATGATCCTATGGTCAGAAGAAGGGAGTCACAACTGGGGAACCAGCTGGGGAGACAGCAGCATTTGGCAGGAAGCCTGGAGGCCTGAATGGTAGAGGTCCAAAAAGCTGGTTCCTTACACCTGCCATGGATGCCCAGAATTTGGGGGCTAAAAAGGAAAAGGAGCCACCACCCTGGATGGATTGACAGCCAGAGCAGAGCACATCCCAGGGTGGGCATGGCAAGTACCCATGCTTCCCAAATCCAGAGGCCAGGATACGTTGTGAAGGGGCTCTGGTGGCAGACTGATGGGAAGGCCCTGGAGAAGAAGGAAGTGGAGTTTGAGAAGGTGAAAATCTGACTATGATCACCAGAGGTCCCTTTGAGAAATAAAAGGGGACTGCTATTGAAAGGAGCTAGTGTGACCACACAGGGGGCTTGGTGTCTTGGCAAGGGCTGCATAGAAACCCACTTCCAGGGATTTCACCTATTGCTGTACCTTCACTCATATGGTACGACATGTGTACAAAGTCGTACAAATGCAGTGCTGTTTGGAATGTCAAAAGGTTGGAAACAACAGAAATGTCTATCAGTAGGGGACTGGGTAAGCAAATAATGAAACATCTAAAAAAAGGACTAGTGTACAGTACAAGTATAATATAGAAGTCTTTATGTACTCATCTGGAAAAGTTCCAAGATACATTGTTTGTTTGTTTGTTTGTTGTTTTTGTTTTGTTTTTGAGACAGAGTCTTGCTTTGTCACCCAGGCTGGAGTGCAGTGATGTGATCTCGGCCCACTGCAAACTCTACCTCCCAGGTTCAAGCTATTCTCCTGCCTCAGTCTCCCAAGTAACTGGGATTACAGGCATGTTGCCTTGGCTAATTTTGTATTTTTTGTAGAGTCAGGGTTTCACCTTGTTGGCCAGTCTGGTCTCAAATGCCTGACCTCAAGTGATCTACCCACCTTGGCCTCCCAAAGTGCTGGGATTACACACATGAGCCACCACACCCAGCCAAGATACATTGTTGAGTGAAAAAAAAAATCAAGATGTATACAACAGTGTAAACATGCATCTAGTTGTGTTTTTCAAGGATAAAATAATATATATTTGTATTGGTTTATATGTGGAACAAAAATATCTAGAAGGATGAATAAAAATCTAGTAATTGATTATCCACTACGACAAATTGAAAACAAAAATGGGAGACTTCATGGATAATGTTTTTATAATCGTAAAGCCAAGTGAAGTGAATGTATTACTTATTCAACAATTAAATAAACACTTTAAAAGAAACAGTAGGATTATTCCAATAAATAAGGCTGAGTATGCAGAACATAAGAATAATAAAAACCGTTACTATGTGCTGAACACTTTTTATAGGCTCCAACTTGAGAATATGGTTGGTGGCTATGAATGTTGAAAGCAAGGGATGTGAATTCAGACGTGGGAGGTGAATGTCACCTGCCTGCCCATCAGTCAGGGAAGCAGTTGAGTCTTCCAGCTAGGGCCCCAGATTTTCCACCTTTCCCCCTGTTCTGTTCCCATCCCTGTCTTTGGCTCCCTCTCTCTGTCGGTCCCATCTAAATCACTTTGAAAGTAGTCAGTTTTTTCAGTCTGCTGGCTGGACAGGGATTAGGATGGATAGAGGAAGAAGGGATTTCATAGGAGCAGGAGCAGCAGGCCCTCCCCTCCCTCCTTTCAGAACTCCAACCCATCACCTCCAGGAAGCCTTCTCTTGTGAAGCTCACAAAACCGCAGCCCTTTCATAACTCAGGGAGACAGACTGATGCCCAGGGTGGGGCCTGTGTCTCCCTCAAGCAGGGTCCAGGCCTCTTGTCTCTAAGCCTCATCAACCCCCTCAGCCCCAAGTCCAGCCTCCAGATAAGGACAGTTCAAACCAAACCTGCAGTATGCCCAGTGCTGGCCAGGCTGCCCAGTGAGGGACATAGTGCAGCAGGGAAGACACGGTCAGACAGGGTAGAAAATCCTCACCCATCATCACAGTGCTTTAGCAGTCACAAAGGCTGTCCCTACCCAGGCAGAGAGGATGGCGCACATTCTCTATTTCCAGAGGTGACTGAGGCCGAGGCCAAGGTAGAGGCTGGAACTGGTAAGTGACTAAAGGACCTAGCAGCCCCTCATCTCATAAAGCACTCTACATACTATATTGTCATCTGCCATCATTTGAGCTCTCTGAGCAGGGACAGTGTCTGATCCATCTCTGAGTCCTCAGCTGGGAAAGAGAACAGGGCCTGGCACAATCAAGGCACTTGGGAAGAGGCAGTAATTGCTATGAAGGGCAGAGAAAGGAAAGGACTTGCCTAAATGTTTGACCTGGGATTAGACCCCAGGTTTTCTGCCCCTAGTCGAGTCCCCTTTCCTCTGTCTCCCTCTTACAGAGTAAATAAATTGGCTGCACCTAGGGCCACCAACCTCACACCCATTCCAATTTCATTTGCAGTGAAGCAACTACCAAATCCTGCCGAGAGGAAGCAGGGAGGATGGAAAATCTGGGAGAGCTTTCTAGAGAAGGTGGGAACTGCAGCTAGTGTTCTTCTACACCAAACAATTGGGTTCCCTGCTGGAG